TCTTCTTTGCCCTGCAAATAGCAGCCTGGCCCAGGGAGACTCTCTCCTAATTCCTTAAGCATGGGCCCCTGTAGCTACACTGCAGCTTTTTTCTATTACACAATGTCACCCAAATATCTTTGGCATGAGAGTAGACTGAGCATAGAAGAAAACAACCTCCGCTGGGATATTTGCTACGTGGATCATTTTGTAAGAGAAAGAGAAAGGGAAGTGGCATCAGACTCATCTGGTTTCCAGACTCAGAAGGAGCCTGGTGTGGTTGAGCAATGACGTAGCAGCATGCAGATTTGTCCAGGGAAGAGGCACTGACATGCACACCCTGATTCCTGAGCCATCCTTTTCCAGCAGGTCGGAACATCAACTTTTGCTCCAGCCAATTTCCAGTCCCAACAAGGATGGTTTCACCCAGATTTGGTATTTTAGTTTAATTCTATTTAAAGTGTTGGGAGTGCTTCAGCATGGCAGCGAGCGCCCAAACACACGGAGACACATGGACACTCAGACACACGGACCGGGACCGGTCTCTCCAGGCCAATGCACAGCTGCTCTTCCCTGTCCTGCATCAGTTTGGTTTTATGGATACAGAGAAAGGCTGAGGCTTTATGCCCACCTCCTCTATCCATGCGAGTGGGTTTCTTTCCCGTGCCCTGAAGGACAGTTCGGGAATGCCCAACATGACAGCAAAGGGGAGATGTGAGTGAACAGATGATGGGAGCGAAGGAACCCCAGGGCCCTCTCAGTGCTCAGCTCCACGATACCAGCCCGATCCTTGCCCCCAGCCCGGCGCCGCCGCTTCCGCCGCGCAGAGCCCCGAGCGCCGCCCCGCTGGCACCGCGCTCGCCTCCCCTCCGTTCCCTGGCCGGAGCCGGCGAGAGCCCGAGCAGCGGCGGCGCAGGGCTCTGGGCCGGGGCGGAGCTGGCGGCGTTGCAGAGGAGGCGGCACGGCCGCAGCAGAGCCGGGGCTGAGGGGCACAGCGAGGCTCGGCCGGCGGAGCGGCGGCATGCGGCGGTGTCGGGGCGCGGGGCTGGCGGCTCTGCCCGCGCTGCTGCTGCTCGGTGCGAGGGGAAGGAAGCAGTGCGGGTGGTCGGGAGGGACTGTGACACTCCTATCGCCTTAATATTAATCTCTAAATCCTTTTCTCCATCTCTGTTTTTGTTTCCTCTCTGTCTCCTCCTTTACCGTCATGGGTTGTTTTTTTTTTGCCTCAGTGAAGTCCTCCCAGCTAATTTGCCTTTTGTACTCCGTTTATTCACCTATCCATCCATCCATCCATCCATCCATCCATCCATCCATCCATCCATCCATCTTTCACTTCAGGAAAATCTTTTTTGCTCATTCCTTTCTACTCTTGAAAATTGCAATTGCCCATCTAAACACCCTTCATAGGTTCGTGTCCCCAACCAAACACTCTCGGATAAATAATCTCTTCTTACTTTATTATAGAGAAATCTCTCAGTTAAGGCTGATCTGTCCTCTTTTCCAATCTCTCTCCGTTTCCTGGGAAAGAAAAGTGATTGTTCTTTTCCCGGTGGCAGTGGCTATGGCCAGAGCCCAGATAGAGCAGGAGCCGTCATTGGAGACCACCGAGGGCACCGGCATCAACATCACCTGCTCACATCCCAAAATCCAGACCTTCGACTGGATCCAGTGGTACCGACAGCTCCCGGGCCAGGCACCCAAACTCCTCGCACTCACTATGAAAGAGTCGAAAGAGCTGCCGGACGACCTGGGCCAGCTGTGGGTGTCGGCAGATCGGCGCTGGAGCGCGCTGCGGCTCGGCTGGCCCCGGCGCGGGGACGCGGCCGTGTATTACTGCGCGCTGGGCCACGGGCAGAGGAGCCGGGGCTGCGGCCGGGCACGAACCGGCGCGGGCGGGGCCGGGCGGGGCCAGCAGGGGGCGCTGCCGCTCCGGCCGCCGGGGCCGCCTCGCCCCGCTCGGCCCGGGATCCCGGGGCGCTGCCGCAATGGGACCGATGCCGATACCGACTTCAAAATCCACACCGGCACCGAGTCACCGACCAGCTCGGAGTCACAGTCCTCCCTCTGCCCCTCTTCTCAGCACTGGCTTAATGATCATTTGCCC